TTAGAGAGAGAGAGAGAGAGAGAGAGAGAGAGAGAGAGAGAGAGAGAGAGGGGAGAAATTTAAAAGGGAATATATTTATTGAATGAAGCGTATGACACAACAGCAGATGCAACTATCACATTTATTATTGTTAATTACAAATATTTAATTTTCCTTTGGTTGTAATATCACTTGAAATCACAGAAAATGTCATAGTAAATTTACTGTCATAAAATTGTAACGTTTTTAAGGAGGAAACGAATTTCTGATGTTACTGGTGAAATAAAAAAAAATACAATATCAACATGTCATATGATCCATTGGTTTTTTGTGCTGAAGATGCGTGCGCCTGTAGTAAACTATGGTACTTTGAGACTAAAAGATTTTGCATTTGCATGGAAAAGGCGATAGAATATGCGGCGAGGCGAGAAACTCAAAATACATTTTCCAAAAATTAATAGACACTTAGACTTTGCCTTTTGAAAATTTTGAATCGTACTTGGGTTTGTCGGCGTTCCCCTTGAAGTGGAGCGCGCTCCGGCCCACTGCGCGCCGCGAAAGGTACGAGGCCGGCGGCGAGCGCCATTGTTTGTAAACAGAGAACTGCGTGGCTGGCACGGCCGCGGCTGCGGCTGCGGCTGTGGCTGCGGCTTCGCTGGGCGTGTGCTCGGGCTGGCTCCCCGCCGGGTCACTCGGCGGTCGCACGCTGAGCCGGCGCGTCGCCACAGTCGCTCAGCCCCGGGCGGAGCTTTTAACTCCCATCTCTCACTAAAGAATGGCTCAGAACAAATGTTACAATCTTCAAGAGCATGTAGAGGGATCGCAGATGATCACTTTTTGCCAATGAACATGTGGTGGGTTAATTAAAACTACGAAGTTAAGTACGCGTGTGATATTTTCTGTTGATTGTTATGAAACTCCTCAGGCACTGATGCTTCGGCAGATCACGTTTCGATTCTATGAAAAATATTTCGTTCATCTGCCGAACACCAGTGCGTGAGTTGCCTAACAATCAGGGGCAAGCGTCACATGTATATATTGCATATCTTCGTTGTATGAAATTTCCCATCTCATGTTCATCGATAAAAAGTGATCATCTTCGACTCCTCTACGTCGTCATAGACGTCGTAACATTTATTCTGAGTCAACCTGTATAAGCATACATCGGTGGCGCTAGGTGACGGAACTATATTCAAACAGAGTAGCTGAAGGCTGCGGTTTCGTGTCCACATCAGGCACGGTAATTTAGAGATGACAGGTCCGTAGTTTTGGATCACATCTCAGTCATCATTCTATTTTAATTCATTGATCTCTAATTATTTCACCCTCGCGATCATCCCTACCATCAACCATTCGGTGCAACGTGATAGCAAATCACTACTGATATTACCTGGACAAGGTGCCAAGAGGTCATCTAACTACAAGCCTCCTTCATCATCTACGCTCGGGAAACGGGTAAGGCTTTCATCGTCTCTAAACATAAGATAAAGCTAAAGATGGCAAAACGACTCTGCGTCCATCCATAGATATTTTGGGTCGGATATTTCCTTGCCTTGTGATTGTATTGTGATACAATTCATAAAATGACGTGCTAATGACATGCAAGAGTATGATGAGACCATTTAAAAGCAGCAAGCGTGTGCATTGAGGTCGTAAAAATGTCAATCAAGGGGCGTTAAAAATTAAATAATAATTGTTAATTACTGCTTACTTGTATATCATAAACTTGTTCTTGATATTCAACAGTTCACAGTTAATATTCAAAGTTTCCAACTTTCCTTGGCTTGGATGAAAAATCTTGAACAAAACAAAACAGGCAAGGAGTGTCTGAAGGTAATGTATCACTGGCACATACAGGTAGACCACCTTAGTTGGCCACAGAGAATATCGTCGAAACTTTTTAGGGTATCGGGATGCGGTTTACGTCAAGTTGTTGTATATAATGGAAGAAATAGCATATTTCCATTTCTCGTTTGTAACTTTTCAATTTTTGGAGAATTGCTACATCTTTGATTTTTTAAATATGTATGTTTTTCCTACCACCATTAAAAAGTACTTGAAGATGCAAATATAATGATATAAGCATTGCTAATAATGTGACTGAAATTTTGGAGAAAATGCTTTATACATTTTCTTATAAGTCATTTTTTCGCGCCTTTTTGCAACGGTTTTCCGGACGGCGAAAAGGGTTTGTCATTCGTTGGTGTTCCGATCTCTAGACAGAAATCGACATTGAAATTTCGTGTTTTCAAAGTAACTATACTTATTTGGATTGCTATCTTGCATTGGTCTCCTATTAGAATGCGCATCTGTTTTTTATTGTCTTCAAGCGTAACTTACTAAATTCTTTGGTACTAACTCGGCTGACAAAAGAATAGAATTTCTCTAATTTCACAATGGAAAGCATTTACTAGCTGGTAAATTAAGATAATAGGAAAGCGAGCAAATCCCCACTTTACCCAAACTCATAAGTTAGAGAATGTAAATTTAGTTTCTATATTATTCGGTTATTACTTTTTGAATTCTTAGGTTCCTGGGCCTTTGATAATTCATCTTTATTTTTTTACAGAAATCACAGCACTTTTCATCTTCAGTATCAATGTCATGAAAAATTGACGATATTATACTCTTGTTGTTCCATAAAATCTACAAATATGAAGATAAAACATATAAAATTTATTTTATGTTGTTAAAAAAATGTAATTAATCATTATTGTCACTTGCATTGTATCGGCACGCTCCATCTCGCATAACGTACGCTCAGCCGAGTGCATCGTTCACAGGCCAGAGCGAGGTCGCACACGGAGATGTAAAATGAAAACGGTGTGCGCAGGCAAAGTCAGGTGTACATGCCACCAAAGATCTAGGAAACTAACAATGCTATAAAGGAATAATTTAATTAAACAAAGGGCAGAATTGTATTCTAATACACACCAGTGAACCTGAATAAAGTGTGAATTTGTTCGCTTTCTGCTTACATTGGTTGATTATTAAATGCATTCAATTGTGGAATAGGAACACACGTTTTATTCTCTTACTTCCCGAATAATTAGTTTGCTTTGTTACAATACACAAACAAATGAATGTTTGAGTAGGAGATCAATGCAATAAATTAATACGAATGAGAATTGTTAATTTCATTGAAAAACCGAAGTTTTAATTTTGATTTATATCTAGAGAGCGGAGACCTAGAGAAGGGGAGGCTCTTTTCGGCTTCCGAAACACATTTGGAAATGAGATATCCACTTGCATTTAAAACGTCAAAAGTTGTGTTAATATCTCAAAAATTACAAGAAAAATTGCAAACTCGAAACAAAAATATGTTAATTCCAACCATCATTGCTACAACTTGACACACATCTTATCCCAAAACCTCAAACAGTTCGATTCGCTGTAGCCAACTTACGTAGTTCAGTCTGTATAGTCAGCAGATTTTCGCAGAGAATAAAGATGTTTATTGCCGAGTGCTTCTTTCTGCTTTAAATGTGAAATATATTTACTATATTTCTTCTAATTGTGCTTATTCAATGTTAAGTGACAAGCTTGCAATTCAAGATAATTTTTTGGTATGGAAGTATACTAATAAGTTTTTTAAAAATCCAACCTTTCTCTCGTCATGCGTCTTACTAATTTTGAGACTTTGTACGCATGTTCTATCAATGAATTTTATACTTATGTTTCGTGCGGCAGGAAGAGTTCCTGCATACACTCCAACTCGATGAGTACTTGTTCTATGACTAATTGATTACTTGTTCTATGACTAAAGTATTTTTACCCTTTGAACGTCTTAGCCCCTTGAACCGCAATGTGGCATTCATACCGCCATCGACCGATTTTCGACCTTTCATCTTGTATTACCAGGTTCACGTACTCTCAGTTAGCGACAATGTTTAAGTATAAACTCTTTGCTAATTAGTTGTTTCACGTTTCCACATCGTTAATTTCAAATACTCCCCAGTCACCACTCATGCACTGTGTTGCCATGCTCAGACTGCATACATTGTGACAGGTCATTGTTGTGGCGTTGAGTGTAATTCTGGGGTCAATGATTGTTACGATGTAGTAACGTTCTTTAATTTGTTTGGTGAATGATATTGACACTTAATCGCACGTGGTTGCAACTCACCAATATTTTATGATTCTCATATCCACTGTAGCCACACAGCGTGCACGGTGTTGTAAATATTAATTCATTCTCAGTGTGGAGTTTACAGATGTATTTGAGTGTATGTCCGTTGCCTTCACAATGTATTAAAAGTGTTTATGATTATTTAAAGGATAATTTATCCTTTAGCCAAACTAGTTTATGCTGTATGCATTATGATGAAACTATGCCTGACTTCCCTTTCGTCGCCTATTACCCGATAAACATTTTCAGTTTATTTCGTAAAATATGGTTGTAACCTGACGTGAATTAAACTGTTGACCACGTCCCCAAGTAAAAAAAAACAAGACATCAGGTTCGTTATTCTTTGGCACTTTATTATACCCATATATATTCTTTATCGCAGAAACCTAACATGATGCTGGGTCAGCTTCAGAAAAATCCATTACAGTATTACAAAGAAATAACCTTCACGTAAATTCAAGCAAAGACATAAAAAACTGTGATTTAACAATAAACCTCGAAAATTGATTCTCCGTCATTTGGTCGGACATATGTTGTAGATATTGTAGTCACCCAGCATTTGAGCGCTCAGAAATTCAAGCTATCAATAGGCAGTTACTGCAAGAATACGAGAGAGAATGGTAACTGACTACTTGAAACTGGTAATATTTTAATAAAAAACAGAAAAACTAATGTCTCAACCGCTTAAGCTTTAGAACGGAAACTCGATATTAGTTTTTTCAAGGACAAACTTTACGTACTTGAAAATAGCGATCATACTTTTTATGAACGGTTGCGATTATATTTAATATTCTGAAAGTGCTTTCGTGGTAACTGTAAAAAATGTTTTTCTTTGTTTATTTATTTTTAAATATCAGTTTCATAATGCAGAAATTGCGTATTTTAAATTCTGCTTTTAATACTTTAAGTACTGCATAAATGAAAACAAAATGAAAATGAAAATATGTTTTTTATAGAAACGTCACTCGTTTTATTGCAGCGGAAATACTCTAATTGAATTGGAGCAGAAAGCGTGCGTCGTTTTCAACTGGCGCTAGAGACCAGTTGGTACCGCGTGGGGCTTGGTTGTTTCTGCAACGTGGCGAAAACATGCACTGTTTGCCAGGTGACGTCGTCGCCTTGAGGTGCTAACTAACTGCCTGGAACATGTCGCGGTATATCTTGTGGCGCCGAGGTCGCCTACACGAAATGTGTCGCTATGTGGAGGATAAGAGATGATGTGAAAACTTGCCCC